CTCCAGCACAGAAGGAGGCAGGATACTGAACTCCATAGGCCAGTATGGAGTTCAGGACACAAGATACTGGACCAACTGGACCCCTGGCTTGATCTAGTATGGCAAATAGTATGGTCAAAAATTTCAAACATGGGTCTCTAAAGTTAAGCACCTAAATCAAAGTGGCCTGATTTTCTGATATGCTGAGCATTTGCAGCTTTTTCTGCAGTCAGGGTAAGCAGTGGGTGCTCAATATCTTGGACAATCAGGTCAGTTTCATTTAGTACCTAATTATGGATTTATGGATGGGATTTCCAAAATGCCTGCATGACTGAGGAGCCCAAGTCTAGGTGCTTTTGAAAATCCCTCTCTATGTTCCTAAGCAGCTCAACCTAATACAGCAGCAGAAATATCACAGTAATTCTAAAGTGTTGCTGAAAGAATAACCTCCGTAATGACAGGAACATGCCACTTCTCATTCTCTAAAGTTCAGCTGTGGACACCCTCTGTCTTAGCATCAATATATCCCCAACCACACATACCTGGATTTCTTCCTCTCTGTGCTCTTGCTCTTCTTTACCTTCAGGTGATCTTTTCTTTGTTGTTTCTCTGACTGCCTGCTGGGATCTCTTTTGGTCTCTTTTATTATGGAGCTGCGTGAGGCAACTGCCAGCCCTCTCTTGCTGCAGCCACACTCTTCAATAGGACCCACTATGCCAGAGATGGTGACTCGCTTGGAGGATGCTCGCTTAGCAACTTCCTCCTTCTCTGATTCTGGGATATCAGTAGAATTCAGAGTCTCTAGCTGGGTGTCTCTCTGTAGGGAATAAGGAAGACACCCAACAAATAAGACAATAGGAATGGGCACAAAGTAAAGGCTCAGGGTGGAGCTGATCAGCACCACTGGGACTTTGAGTGGAGATCAGATAATAATATCATATTTATCAATTCTTTATTTATATTGAATTTTGTGTTGGTTAGGAGTGTCAGACTGCCAGTCCTGAGAAATGGGACTACTTACCCATGGGACCAATACAGTAGGGACCATGGCAGTGAAAGCTTCCCCCCCCCGGCCATCAGGTACAGCCCCCAGCTAAAACCTCTCCAGCACATCATCAACCATCTACAACCTATCCTGGAAAATGATCCCGCACTCTCACAGACCGTGAGAGGTAGGCCAGTCCTTGCTTACAGATAGCCCCACAACCTGAAGCAAATACTCACCAGCAACTACACACCACACCACAGAAACACTAACCTAGGAACCAATCCCTGTTGCCTACTCTGTCCCCATATCTACTCTAGCGACACCATCAGAGGACACAACCACATCAGCCACATCATCAGGGGCTCATTCACCTGCACATCTACTAATGTGATATATGCCATCATGTGCAGCAATGCCCCTCTGCCATGTACATTGGCCAAACTGAACAGTTTCTACGTAAAAGAATAAATGGACATAAATCAGACATCAGGAATGGTAACATACAAAAGCCAGTAGGAGAACACTTCAATCTCCCTGGATATTCTATAACAGATTTAAAAGTAGCCATACTTCAACAACAAAAACTTCAAAAACAGACTTCAAAGAGAAACTGCAGAGCTACAATTCGTTTGCAAATTTAACACCATTAATTTGGGCTTGAATAGGGACTGGGAGTGGCTGGCTCACTACAAAAACAATTTCCCCTGTCTTGGTATTGACACTTCCTCATCAATTATTGGGAGTGGACCACATCCACCCTGATTGAATTGGCCCTGTCAACACTGGTTCTCCACTTGTAAGATAACTCCCTTCTCTTCATGTGTCAGTATATTTATGCCTGCATCTGTAATTTTCACTCCATGCATCTGAAGAAGTGGTTTTTTTACCCACGAAAGCTTATACCCAAATAAATCTGTTAGTCTTTAAGGTGCCACTGGCCTCCTCATTGTTTTTGTGGATACAGACTAACATGGCTACCCCTCTGATACTTCCCCACCCTGTCCCTTTGCCACTGACTATTGACCAATATGTCAGGCCTGGTCCAATACCTTGCCACTTGGTAGAATCACACTCTGAAAAAGTTATTAAAATAGAAATAGATAAAGATAACTCATGTTGATAATTGCTTTTAGCTTCACCTGAAAGTTTCCTTTTCTTTGACTTGTCAGATTGGCATATCTACTCTCCAGCTGGTGAGTAAGTGCTCCTCAGTGCCATTTTCCCTCACCCAGGCGAGTACCAGCAACCACCAGACTCATACCTCTCCAGTCCCTCTTAAATGCAACCAAGTGGTTCTACACTTGTGCATGAGATTTTGCTGGATTGCTGCGCCAGAGTCTGGACTATGAGGGTGTGATTTGTAGAAAGCACCAGTTGCTCTAACTCCCCTGTGTGACCCTACTGGTGTGCCCTAAATGTTCCTTAGTGCACATTAATGTAATCCTGTTTGAAAGAGGACTGCATAAATGCACAGTAGCAGAGTCTACATGGTGAATTAGAGCGCAGCACCCTGGAACACTGTATAAATCACACCCCCAAAGTGTGGACTGACTTTGGGGTCATGAAGACAAGCCTGAGGATTCATGGGAAATCCACAGACCAGATCCGGCCTATGGGTCTTACATTCGACACCCCTGAAACCTCTTCTGGGTATGAGTGAGGAGTTCATTCTCCATGGGATCATGGAAGCCAATACTGACCAAAATTAACCTTTGAGCATTGTTTAATGACCTACATTGCAAGTTTTCTTTTTCCTTTCTTCATCCCATCTATATTCAACAATCATTACCCTGGGTTTTCCTCTGTCTTTGCTCTGACCTGGGAGCAGATACCAGGTATTTGTCTGATGGCTAAGGTTTAAGGTGTCTGGTTACTTCTCAAGGAGATGATATAAAAGTCACAACTGCAATTGCAAACTATCCCAATGCAAAGAAAGTATAGGAAGAATAGTAAGAGGCCAATATGGCTCCATCAGGAGCTCTTTAATGACCTAGAAATCCAAAAGGATTTCTATAAAAAGAGGGAACATGGACAAATTGCTAAGGAGTACAAAAGAATAGCACAGGCATGTGTAGATAAAATCAGAAAGAGTAAGACACTGTGATAATGTGTGTACCCCACATAGGTCCTAAATGGGTTAATGTGGGCCTGAGAGGCCAGTTAAGTTATCTGTCTGCACCTGGAGGGAGAGCCAACCTTAATGGATCATGAAGCCCAGATGGGCAGCAGGAGCATGCTGGTTAGCATAAGGAGAGGAAGTTTGTAGAAAAAGGGGTCTGACTGGAGAAGCACTTATAAAAGTAGAGATAAAACTATTAGAGCTAACTTTTTGGGCAAAGATAAGAGGGAATCATGAAAATGGTAGTACACAACAGATTTATGGGGATTGCTGAGAGTTTAGTAGACAAAATGATATGGATTGCTACAGACTTCCTCATAGTATCGGGGTCAAAAATGGGTAAAGGAGATATGTAAAAAAGAGAAATTGAGAGAATGAAACATTTTTACTCAGGGAAAATCAGCTTATAGCTGATCACTTACTCCTCCATATGTGGATTTGGAATTGTATGAAAACAACAACAAATAATGAAGGACAAAAAACACACATTATGACCAATGACATTTATGAATGAAAAATGGGGCCAGCTTTGCAAAGTCTATAGAGATAGATCTGAAGATGACAGCACAGGTAGAGAAGGAACAGCCTTTTGTGCTCCTAGTATTAGAATCCAGAAACCAAAAAGGCTCTGTAATTTCTGATGGCTGAACTAGTGGGGATAATATTGGCACTAACCTGGATAAGAGATTTCTGACCAGCTGAAGCTGTAATTTTATATGATTCCTTGTCAGACATAATGACAATCAGAATAGGGACTTTGGAAAGCAGAAATGACATAAGAAGTGAAATAACATTCCTATCTCTAGAAATAACTCAAATAGATATCTGTGTAACAGTAGCATGGATTCCAGTGCATATCAGAATACCTGGAAATGAGTTGGCTGACAAAGCAGCAAAACATACTCTAAAAAATTAGGAGGTGGATATTAAGATACCCTTAAGTACACAAGAGTTTAGAAGTGTGGTCACGAAGGAGCCTGCAAAGAAAGGGCAAGAACTATAGCCCAAGGAAACAAAAGGATGAAGTTCTATGGTGTATGATCAAAAATCAAAGATAATACTACATTCCATTGACATGACAGAAAAAGTGAAGTAGCCATTTTTAGAGTGTTAACAGGTCATTATGCCTTAAATGAAAAGTTAAACTTATTAAAAAGACATAAAGATGGGCTGTGTAATGTGTGCAAAACTAAAGAAACTGTTGATCATGTTCTGTGTCATTGCGGGCAATATTCTATGGAAAGAAAGTTTCTTTATGAAAAATTGAGTTGACTTGGAATTAAAGATTTTATCCTAAAGGGACTAGTGAGAATGTCAGGGAAATAGATTAGTGCAAAAAAAAGCCTTACTGCATTTCCTTAAGGATACTAGACTGAGTGAAAGGAGAAAACCCTGACCTCTGAGGAAAGAGTAAACAAACTGGGCATGTTTAGTCCTGAGAAAAGGAGACTAAGAGGGGAGACCTGATAACAGTCTTCAAATATGTTCAAGGCTATTATAAAGAGGATTGTGATAACTTTTTCTCCATATCCACTGAAGGTAGGACAAGAAGTAATGGGCTTAATCTGTAGCAAGGGAGATTTAGGTAGATATTAGGAAAACTTTCTAATTGTAGTTAAACTTTAGCATAGGCTTCCAAGGGAGGTTGTGGACCCCATCAGGTTTTTAAGAACAGGCTGGACAAAAGCCAGTCACTTGTGTGCATGTGTCTCTCATCTTCTCATGGCCCTCCTTCTGCCAGGCTGAAGCAGGGGCTTGCATGGGTGGGGCAAAAAAGAGAGATGTGGAGGTGCCTATGCCGAAAGTCTCTGTTGCTTGCTTTGGGTAACACCTTTAAAAACGTATGTTCAGGATCAGCAGCTATCCTGGTCTCCTTGCTAAGTGTGGACCAAGGGCAGTGTTTCCACCAATTTTGCTGATGAAAGCCCCGAGTATGAATATATTGTCTTTAGCCCTCCATCCTTCCCCACGCCTGCTCCCTCTCTGTCTTTCAGTTGTAGCAAGTGGATACCTCTGACCTTTCTAGCTCTCCACTAATACTTCAACCAAGAGCTGGAATACCCAGCCCCCTCCCAGCACGCCAACTGTCTAATGCACCTCACCCATCAGCTACCACAGGCATGTGAAGAACTCAGCTATGTTATGCCTCTTCTGCTCTGCCCTTTGCCCCCACATCAGAGGGGAAATTCAGAAGGAAAGCACCACTAAAGGCCACAGCAACCCATTCACCAAAATATCAGGAAAATGAAAGCCAGGACAATGGTGTCAGGTACCCCACTTCTTGACATCCAAATAACCAAGCAGGGCTGCACGTCTGGCTGCCATCTGGCTGCCACCACCCTCAGATTCTGTAGGGACCTTATGACAGGCCAGTTATTTTTATATAAACTCCTTATAAACAGAATTGTAACTCCTTTGAATTCTTGTCTATTGCACAAGCTTTGACTTGTGCAATAATAAGGAATGATGGAACAAGCATGTGAATTTTTTTACGAACCACTGCCAAAGACTCACGTTGTCTGACTGGTTCCTTGTGCCTTGCATTCTCTCAACTTGCTGCCCATTAAAATTCTCAAACACTACATTGACTTGAGTATTGTTGTAGTTGTCTTGGGGAAGTTTCAAGAGAGAAATGAGCCGCAGCCATTGACGGAAGAGGAGGCACAGCTTGTCTGGTGGGGCACAGAGCTCCAGGTAGAAGGAGCGGCCACTTGCCAGCTTCAGCTTGAGGCGACGCCTCTCAGCATTGTGAACGGTGATCTCCACAAACTTCAAGGGGAAGAACCTACAAGAAAACTCAGGTGTGAGACCAGCTAGAGTCTTTGCTTACAGGAGACCTATATCCATTGCGTGATTCAGGAAATGGGCTGCAGGGGGAGTAGTCTGAAGGGAAATGCATGCAGACTCTTCTCAAAGAAGACATTGTGTCTGTCTTCTCTGGGGGCACATCCCGACTGCAGGGGAGAAGTCTGTTGGGAAAAGCATGGTGAGTGTACCCTGAGACACTCTTTTCAGATGCCACTATGCCCTTCGTGGGAGAGGTGCTCTGCAATAGCTCACAGCACCTGTGACATTAAAGCCTGATTTTTTAGAAAGGGCACAGTATATTGACTAGGACACTACAGTTAACCCCTATTCTTTCTGAAAAGTGCCCTTAAACCTTTAATTTCCAGGTATGACAATTCCTATGTTTCTATGATCAATCAGTAGTCTGTGTATTCGCTATTATATCCTATCCCATCCTTTATATGTCCTAACATTTTGTTTGACTTCTTGATTGCTACTTCACATTGAACAGAGGTTTTATTGCGCTGCTCACAATGATGTCCAGATCATTTTTCTAAGTGGTTACAATTAATATATAATCTAGCAATTTGTGAGAGTAGTTCAAATTATTCCTTCCAACAATGAATTTAATCTGTCATCAGATTGCCCATTTAGCTCTTTTCATTAGATTCCTCTGGAGTTTCTCACAGTCTTCTCTGGTTTTAACTAACCCAAATTATTTTGTGTCATCTGCAAATTTTGCCACTTTACTGTTCACTCTTTTACAGATAATCAACAAATATATTAAACAACACTAGTCCAAGTATGAAAACTTAGAGCACCCCAATGTTAACCTTTGGCCATGTTGAAAATTGACTAATTTATTCCTACTTTGTTTTTTGTATTTCAGCCTGTTTCAAAAGCAAGATAATAGTTCACCCTCTACTCCATAACTATTTAGCTTCTCATGAGAAAATTTGGTAGAGGCTTTTTGAAGTCCAAATAAATTCTATCAACCAGTTTTCCTTTATCCACTATTTTGCTGACATGCTCAAAAAATTTGAACAGTTTAGAGAAGCATGATCATGTGTTTAATAATTCTATTTTTCATTATTGTTTCAACCAGTTTTCCAGTACTAAAATTACAGCATCTCTTAATTACCAGCCATAGGGCCTTTATTGAACAAATAGCAACAACATTTGTTCTGGTCTTTTGGTATGGTTATTGATTTTAATGAGAGATTGTATATTTTATCAGCTCAACCACTTAATTCTTATGGATTCCGCAGCCAGAAACTACCATTGTGATCATCTAGTCTTACCTCCTGTATAACACAGGCCATAGAACTTCTCCAAAAATAATTCCTAGAGCATTTATTTTAGAAAAACATCCAGTCTTGATTTAAAAATTGCCAGTGATGGAGAATCCACATGACCCTTGGTAAATTGTTCCAATGGTTAAATACTGCCACTGATAAAAATGTATGCCTTATTTCCAGTATCAGTTTGTCTAGGTTCAACTTCCAATCCTTGGATTGTGTTATACCTGTCTCTGCTTGACTGAAGAACCCATTATTAAATATTTGTTCCCCATGTAGATACTTATAGATAGCAATCAAATCACCCCTTAATCTTCTGTTTGTTAAGATAAATAGATTGAGCTCTGAGAGTTTTTCACTATACGGCATGTTTTCTTCATGTTTTAATCATTCTTGTGGCTCTTCTCTGAACGCTTTCCAATTTACCAGAACTCTTGGATGTATTCCATCCATTCCTGGTGACCTCTTGCTCTTTATCATTTTGTCCCAACTCCTCCTCTATTGACAATTCATTTTTATTACCTGAAAAAAGTATATTTTGAGTAGGTGTCTCCCCAGCATCCTTTACTGTAAAAACTCATGCAAACAACATTAGCTTATCTGATATGCCCCTATTCCCTTTGATTGCTCCCTGGTAACCCAGCAAGTCCACAAATTTTCTTACAGGCTGTCCTGCTTTTAATATTATTAATTATTATTTGTATTCTGGCAGCACCTAGGAGCCTAGACATGGACCAGGAGGCCATTGTGTTAGGCACTGTACAACCACAGAGCAATCTACGTATAAGACGAGAGACAATTTCTTTGATGAATTTACAGATTTACTTAAGTGTTTTTAATGCCTTTGGCTTGGAATGGCCACTGGAGATTGGCCAAAGGATGCATGTTTTAGCTAATGTTTCATCCAAAGGACAGCATTACTAAATGGACACTAGTGGAGAGACACCTGGTTACAAACATTTGTCCAAAATATGACCAAGACTTACAAAAAGCCCTTGTGGAAAGCGTGCTCTGTGAACTGACCTTCACTCCTTCTTAGTGCTAACTTACCTGCTGAGTACTAGCTGCTCCATGGAGGATGGCTGCTTTGAGGCCTTCCAGAGCTTTGACACAGCTTCCTGGGAAGATGTAGGCACTGTGTGTGCTAGCAGCATCACATTGGGCAGTGATAGACTGGGGCTGGATGCACAGATGCCTACAGTCACACAGTTGGGACGGTTATGAACATAAATTGGTTCACCTCTCCTATTAACCTGCATACAAAAACAAAGTCATTACAGTATGTCATGGAGCCATTACATTGATAATACATTACACAGACCTATTGTGGTACCAGTTGCCTGGGACTCTCACAACTCAGGTGGTGAGAAGATAAGGGAACGTAAAAGAATGAGAGGGGTGTGTGTATGAAGAAAGGGAAAGGGAGGAGAAAGAAGTGAGTCAGAATGAAGGGGTTGGAAAGGTGGCATAATCAGCTAACTGGACATATATTCAGCTATTAGCCATCTCTGCATTACCACTTCTCATGGCCCGTGGTGAAGGGGGCATAGCAAGGGTGCCGCAATGCTCTGGTGATCCATTATTATTATTATTAATTACATCTCTTCCCCAATATAACGCGACCCGATATAACACGAATTCGGATATAATGTGGTAAAGCAGTGCTCCAGGGGGTGCGGGGCTGCGCACTCAGGTGGATCAAAGCTAGTTCGATATAATGCAGTTTCACCTATAATGCGATAAGATTTTTTGGCTCCCGAGGACAGCATTCTATCAAGGTAGAGGTGTATTATTTATTTGTTGATTTGTATTACTGTAGTACCTAAGCGCTCCAGTGATGCACCAAGACATCAATGTTCTAGGTGCTGTACAAACAAAACAAAAAGACGGTCCCAGCCCCAATGAATTACAATCTAATTATAAAGACAAGAGACAACAAATAGAGACAGATGGACCCGCAGGGTAGTACAAGGAATATATGACATACTATTGGTCAGCATGATAGGCAATGGTTTCAGCATGCCAACAGCCTGATGGTTGTCAATTTTTTTGTAGGCATTACAACAAAGGAGAGTTTGAAGGAGAGTTTTGATGGAGGATAATGAGGTAGCTTTTTCGATGTTTATGGGGCGCGTGGGCAGCATGGGAGAAAACACTAAGATGTTTGTTTAGAAATGTACCAGAGGGTGATAGAGGTTGGTATCATGGGCTGATTGGGGGCAGAAGTCAACATCTTGATAGCAAATAAGATAGGGTGGGGATAGATTGTGAAGACAAGAGCTTATGTTTGATGTGGGAAAGGGAAGGAAGTGGAGGGATGCAAAGAGATGGGTGACTTGGTTAAAATGATGGGCTAGGAAAATGGTCTTTGCAACAGCATTCTGAATGAATATGAGCAGAGCACGATTGCATTTGTCAAGGCCAAAGAAAAGGTTGTTGCAGTTACTGAGATGCGAGATAATGAGAGCCTGGGTAGGAGTTTCAGCAGTGCTGATGGATAGGAAAGGCTTCATGTTAGGGGTCTCATGGAGAAAGAATTGGCAAGATTTAGACAGCCTGGATGCGAGGACCTAGAGAAAGAGGGCAGAGTCGAAGATGACATTCAGGTTATGGATCTGAGTGACAGGTAGGATGGTGGTGTTTGCCACAGTGATTGAGAAAGGAGGGAGTGGGGAAGATTTTTGGAGGGGGAGATTAGGAGGTCTGTTTTTGCCATGTTGATCTTGAGCTGACAGTTAGATATTTATGAGGAGATATCGGAGACACAGGCCAAGATTTGCTAGAATGACCACTAGGGGGTGTTGCAATTGGGTGCAACCTTAAGGCTGCTCTAAGTTGCACAAGGGGTTGAATCAGCACCCAGTTATTCCCAGGATAAAGGTGTGGAAGAGAGAAAAGGGCTCACAAAGCCGCCTTTGTTCTCCCCTCCAGATTAGCTGTGTGCAGCACTAGCATAGCTTGGTATCTAGCCCAGTGTATGTGAGGGGAGAGTAGGATAAGTATGTATGAGAAGGGGAATATACACGTGTTGGAGTGAGACAGAGAATGAGAATAGTGGAAATGAACAAAGGAGTGGGCAGCATCCACACTGGGGGATAAAAATGGAAATTCTCTATGTAAGGTATGTCAAACCATCAGTGCCAAACAATTTCATTTAAATGATGTTTACCTGGACAAAGTTGCTCTCAAACATGGGAGCGGATGTGAAGGGGACATATTCTCCTTTGCTAAGAACTCTCTGAAGATCTCCCATAATGGAGATCTGGCTTCTGGAGGCTCCACACACACTGAAGCTCCTAAAAGAGAAGTAGCTTCTAATGTTGTCTACACACAAAACAGGAAAAAATTAGTAAGTTAAGAGGGGCTGTTCCAGAAAAACACAAATAATCAACTGATGGGGAAATAGCAGAAGATAGAACAGCCTGTGTCTGTTCCATTTCCTATCACAGGCTGCATCAGGTTATTCGAGAGCAAAAACCCACACAGACATGCACATGCCTTCAAGGTATGACTTTCCAAGGCACTCCAGAAGCTGGACAGGATTTGGCGATGGAGAGGGGATCAGCTTGGGGAGCTGATCAGACATAGGGGCGGGCATATAGACAAGAAAAAAGGAACTATTTTTACAAAGTAACATCTTGCCAAAATCCACCTTCAGTGCCTTTGTTGTTCTGTTTCTCTTACACGACTTACTCTGTTGTCTTCATGCTTTCCTCCTCTTCATCATCAAATCTCACATAGCATAATTCTACGAATAAATATAGATAGTTCACATATGAAACTTGCACAAATACAGTTGAAACACAAACTAGATCACATGTGCTATGCTGTATTTCAGATTGTTCCCTTTGCTTATAATTAAGTGAAGAATCTTAATATAATGGTAGGATTGATCAAAATACTTTTTTGCCATTGTTAGGTGATGAGGATAACAACAACATTTTACCCTTTCATGTGAGCATACCAATGTATCTTGCAAATAATGAGTCTGCTCATCACAGCTCAAGAGGGATGTGGGAAAGATGACTTGCACAATCTTAGTGCCCCCTGTTCATGTTGCTCCCAGGTGCTGGTCTGGTCTTGAGATGCAATTTAGAGCAGCCTTAGTACTGCTCTAAATTGAGTCAGTTGTCTAAAACTCAAAAGGGATATTCCAGCAGTCAGGAATCCTTGGGGCAAAGGAACACCCCAACTATGTCTAGTAACCTGTGGACATGCCTCCTTTGCTTGGAGTGGGAAGAGGGTGTCCTCTACCAGCTGGCTAAACTGACTTTAAGGCACAAACAGAAGATGGAGCAACATAAAGTGGTCACGCTTCAGGAGAGGCTAATAATTAATTGAACTTCATAAACACAGCGCCCCCCCATGTTAGGTAGGTAATCATCATTATTCCCATTTATGCTTGTGAATACAGAAGTTACATATCAGGGAGTAAGTTAAATGACTTTTCCAAGGCCACATAAGTCAGTGGCAAGGCCACGAAAAGAATCAAGATGTCTTGTCTCTGCTTTTTTAAATACTGTGTACATTCCCTAAGTAGACTCCTACTTCTAGGAATTCATGCCTCGTTTTACTGAAACGAGCCCATTTCTTACATGGAGGAGTCTACCAAAGAAAGAACAAGATACAAATGCTCTAGCTTGTTCTGAAGAGCTTTCTAGAAGTCTGCTGCACTAGGAACCCATGACTGGCAAATTCAAGTAGATTTTTGAATAGCAAGTTCCCCCTCTTGAATTTCCTTAAACAGTCAATGCCTACAGGTGAGGCAGCAAATCATGTCATAATAGGAAGGCAGAGTCGGGCAGGGGCTGCTGGCATCATAATCCACTGGTATGACCTGTGTGCTCTCAGAGGACACTGAGACCAATTAAATTGCTTGACTAAATCAGGGAAGAATGTGGGTGATATGAATTTACCCAGTCCAGACGTGTTGCATGTATACAGGCTACTCTATATTAGGGATTTTTGCAGAAGCATAGCTCCCCCAGTGCAACCCCATAGTGATGAGCTGCACCAATGTAAAATGGGGCTTGCACTGGTGAGACTGAGGTAAGTCACACTGAGTGCAAACTCCATACTACACTGGTAATCTGCATTTGCACTGGGAGAACTTCACTTATGCAACACCCCTGGGTATGAAGCCATCGATAGAACCGGTTGAAATTTTTTTGACAAAACTTGTCTGTCAAAAAATGTTGTTTTGTCAAAATCAAAACCTCTCACTGTCACCCAATTAATATTTCATTATTTATACAAAGTGGAATAGTTTCAGTAGGAGACACAGTGGCAAGGGCACCCACCTGGGCCATGGTCGGCCCCGGTGAGTGCCCTAACCTTCATGTTAATTGCTATTCTGGGGTCTTGCTCTCTTTCTCTCTGTCTAGTTTTTTCACAAACAATTTTAAAAGGTCTAATTTTTGTTTAATTGCGGGGGGCGGGGGGGGGCGGGGGAGGAACGGACACCCAAACCAAAACCACATTTTGAAACCTCTAAATTTTTTGCTAATCAGAATTGTTGTTTTCTAGCATGCCCTAGTCATCAGCCCTTAGGAAACTCTAACTAGTATGAACACATCAGTGCATTTCCTCAGCAACACAGGCTGCCATGAGCACATCAAGCCTGTCCTTCGCTCTCTACTCTGGCTCCCTATAAAATATTGAGTCAAATCAATTGAACTTGGCCAGTGAGGCACAAGTTTCAAAGGGGCCATTATGGAAAACACTCTGCCAGCTCCCCACTTTCTCTTATGTGACCTCAGGTGCCACTGCACACACACAGACCCTAGAGGGTCTGTCCGATAAGTAGGTCAGAACCAACACCTTAAATTTTACCAGCAGCTAACAGCTAGCCAGTGGAGACCCAAAAGCACTGGTATCACGTGCACCAGAAATGCACCCTGTAACAAACAAGCTGCCAAATTCTGCACCAGCTTCAATTTGCTCTACTATAATTGAGTACCACTGTGCTTATCCCCCTGGAATGCACCAATTTTTCACCTACCAGATAGCTATTAAATGCTATATTTCTAGGGGGCTCCCACCAGCCCTTACCATGAAACTGCCTGAGTCAGGAGCTCATCCACAAACATGGAAACATGGAATGTACAGAAAAAGATAAGCCTGAACTTTTTCTTCCATGTTTGTTCATGTGCGCATTTTACCTAGGCTACCACCTTACTGGACTGCTGGCAGGTCAGAGTAATGCAACAGCAGCTCATATCACTAGGCTGTCAGTGGACAATCCAAATGGCTGTAACCCTGCAATAAAAAGTCAGCATTAAGAGAATATCAATTATACCAATGTAGCATAGCTGTAAATAGGGCCTTTCTGCACAGAGCAGGACAGATCCTCAGCTGAGTAAATCAGTGTTGTTCCACTGACTGAAAATTTGGCATAATGCATTTCAGAGTAAGAGAAGGTTCCCAAATACTAGGGGTCTTGCCAAGCTTTGATAGCCTACCATGATTTCAATCTCCACTTCAGGAAATGACATTCCGGTGTTCCTTCAGGGTGGTTATAGTCTGGGTCAGCAGTAAGTAGCTGCCAGTGTGGCAAAGATTTCAACTCCACTCCAGCAGTGCCTTCTGAGTGATGAGGTAATAATACCTCAGTAGAATGCTGGAGTTAACAAGGATGTGGGGACTTATTTACCATTTTTCTGGCATCCTCTTCTACCCTTGGGGCAGGACAAGTAGGAGTTTTGCACAGATTTCTCATGTCTCCCACTAGAGAAGTCAGAAATTTTCTTCTAAGGGAAACATCCAGGCCAAGAGGCCTGCTCCAAGGTAACTGTGGAGAAAAATAGGAGACTCTGTAACCCTAAGGAGAAGGAAACTGTTAAATGTATTTCTGAATGATCCATTATTTTCATAATCATCCTTCAAAAGACAGTACAAATACACATTAATATGTGAAATTAAGTGGTTTAAGATCATGGACATTTTCCTTTGCCCTCAAAAGTGATCCTTTCCTTTTAGCCCAAGCCACCAAAAGTTTTTGGGTTGTTTTAGCCACACAAGGTAGCTCTAAATCCATTTAAACTGGCAATTAAGATAGGTTTATGGCTGTTTTGGGTCATCAAGGTAATGTGAAGCAGCTAGAGCATACCAGTGAGTCTGGCCGTTTAATTCTATACATGAAGCAGGTATCTCCAATGTCTTTTAGAAAAATATTAGATTGAGATTTTCAAAGGAGACTTAGGCCTTGGCTACACTTACCCGGTAGTTCGGCGGCGAGCGATCGAACTTCTGGGTTCGACTTATCGCGTC